AGTTACATTATGTTTTCAATATAATATGCAGAACAGCTGCGCTTTCCATTTGGCATTATAGTTTTTGGCATGATTTCGCTCCACTACAGGTGACAAGCCGGCTACCCGGCCGGCGCCGATATCAGCCAAGCAAGTGCGCTGCTAGGCGGACCGCGGACGCGCACGTGCTGCATATAGAAATATCATTTACTCGAAAACGGTAAGACCTATCACTAAAATTCTTTCACCAAAAACTTTTGGTGACTATCAGCTACAATTCGTACGATACATGTATAGAGATTCCTCAAATAATAAAAAAGTTTCTCGCAGAGTGAAGTTTACGCTTCTTAATAATCGATTTGTCGACTTTGATGACAATTATCATAATGTAGTTATATCATGTTTTCGATGTAATAGGCATAGTTAGAAGCGCTTACTATTTGGCATTATAGAACTGAAACAATTATAGCAATATCTCGTGCGGGAGCCGAGATATTCCAGGGTAAATCTCTAAAAACATAAATTTTTATGAAGACACTTTTGAGTGGTTTTTTGACTATAAAAAATGTCATGACCACCGGAAAATGTCGTAAAAGACCATTTCGGATACAGAATTACAATATCTACATACTCTACTAGGTCTGATCTTGTTATACCGTCAAAAATTTTTTTCCCATTTCTAGACGACTTTTTTGCCCGATTTCGCTCCACTAAATAGTACCTCAAAAATGTGGAATGGTGGATTACAATCATTATCATTAGGTCACTATGTATCAGAATGGTTTCGTTGGTTAGCAACGCATAATAAACCTTTGTTTCCATCTGCTATTTCTTAATGATTTCTGATAATGAACTAATGATAATGATTGTATAAACCCACCATGAATATCATACTAAATAAATCAATAAAGAAAATATGAATGAGTTTGCACTTGTTTTTGTGTAATATTGAAATTAAACATGCTCATAAATGCAAAAGGTGCAATAAATTATAAATAATACTTTATTTATCACAAAAAGGAATAAATTATGGGCACTATTCTGCAGTTTAAATTTTCAACGGACTCATAATGCAAAATCTTCAACATACGCGAAAATGATCAAGCATTGTGCGACTTAAAATCTTACAAATTTCTTCCTTTGCATTAGGTACCACGAAAACTCTGATCATAAAAATATCATTTGTTATTTTTCAATCGAATAAAGATCCTTTATCCCTTAATATCTTCAAAAAAAGAAATAGTTATTTATTATACAAGACCGTAAAGGAATGTTTTAACCTTCGAGTGAATCAACTTTCACAAGATCGTTAGTTTCCCTTTATCGACGTGTGTATACAAAATGTTATTTTACAGCAGAAGCCATAGAAATCATAATAAAACTTCTAAAAATTCTGTAGATAGTTAATTTAAACGCCCAAAATAGCAAGTTAGATTATCCCGTCGTTTCCGTGACAACAATATTGTATTCTGTTCGGAGTTTCATTTTATTTCGTGCTCCACGTCCCATTCTTAATGGGATGCACAATGATTTGTTTCACTTTATCTACCCTTGCGGTTAAAAAAACTTATCTTGCACATTCAAACCTATTAAAATGTCAATTTAACATCTGCAATAAAATAAAGTTCAATTACTATTATTCCCTGGCGTTGTATTATTTCGATTGACGTTCACCCATTTGTTCAATAAGTAAACCCTGATTCAGTTATTATCCCTTATAGATTCTAAAGTTTGATTCGGAAGTTCTGATTTGCTACCGAACCTAAACGTCCAATCTTGAAAAACCAACGATTATTTGCAATGAAATAATTTTACAGAAAAGCTACACCACCAATTTGTAATGCTTGTGAAAATTTGTTAAGCACACTGTCATTAAGTAGGATGCCTTACTTATTGTTCTTGTTCCTCAATCCTCGGTAATGTGTTTCCTTTGGGAAATAAACACCTGCTTGTGAGTTTAATGTTTATGAAGCGTAATTAGGTTGCGTACAAACAAATAAAGGAATGTAGTAAACTGGGGGAACATTGTAATTTTATAAAACCCGAGTAACACAAACTCTACTATTTGCATTATTGCCATAAGCTTTTAAATAATTCTCGACAATACTGTAATCACGAGCGAGGGAAATTATCTACAAATGTCACTAAAAAATGATAAAAGGTCAAAGTGTTTTATTCGTCGGCAGTCGTGACACTATAGGGACGTCCGAGGTGGGTTCCTCAAGCTCTTCCAGTGTCTTCAGCCATAGAACGTAATTTCAGTGTGGGTAAGGTGTTGATGAGGTATTTGATTTCAATAGAATGTTAAGTTTTCATGGATATTTGGTCTCAGACAAAGTTGTAAAACTGAAATTTGGTATCATCAACTCCTGGAAACTGTATTGTACTGTACTGTCTTTTCGGCAGTATTTCTATGTATATAGGTATAGTAATCCTGAAAATCATAGATCTATCGGGTTTTCCATATAAAAGGGGGATTTATTTTGTGGAGGAGTATATTTTCAAAAACTCAAATAATACATATATAGACCGATTGTATTAGGCTTATAGTCTCATATCAAATTTACTCCAAATTTTATGAACAGTAAAAAATGAATAGGTGATAGGTCACCCCATTTCAAATAATGAAGTGTGAGCCAAGTTCCCATATAACTAAAATACTTTAGCTGAAACGACCTCAATTATG